ATTAGATATAATTAGATATAATAAAAGGTCGATAACAAATGTGGAGGCGATCCTGTCCATGTATTTTTCTTACAGAGAGAATGATCGTCCCTCTGATGTCAACACAAGCTGAGAATGTAAACTGAAGCAGGTAGAATTTGCAGCAGAGCGGCTGCATCGGATTGCCTTAGATTTCACTAGTGTACTTAATAAAGTGGCCGCAGAGTGTCGGTATCACACCGAGATGGAAAACCTTGAAGTCAACACAGCACATTGAAAAATGATGAAATTTAACTCCGAGGGCCAGACTGGAAAAACTAAAAATGTATTTGAAGTGCAGGTTTAGGATTTTGCAGGTTTCAGGAACTCAATAGATAATTTTAGTTTTTTTTTTTTTTTTTTCCATGGCACTGGGAGGGTTCAGTGAGTTGACTGTAGGCTGCTTTTCTGTTCCCTCTGTCTTCATAGGGACATCCTCAACCTGCTGCTGATCACCTGCAGCTTATCAGTGGGCATAAAACAGCAGCTACTGGTCCATCTGTGCAGGTTTCTATAAACTTAAGTGTTCTGTCCTCTTCATTGTGCACAAATAAAAAAAAGGCAGTTCGTTCCCCTGACATCCTCTGATAACCAGATGTTTAACACTCCTTGGGTTTCGGTTTTGACATCATATGCTGGACGTTGACACACCGCTCTTCAGTCAGAAGTCACTGCCCTCTTTTTTTACTGGTTTGTGAGGTTAGGAGGAGGTATTGTTTTATACTATAGAGCGCCAGTGAAACCTGCTTCCTGTAACCACTGGTGACTGTTGTGGAGCTTTGGACAAGTTACGTGGTCCTGATCAACGCTGTGGTCGTTGGCAGTCCTGGCATCCCTCACCAGGAAGTTTCACCGCTCATGTGTGGATTCATGTTAGTTCCAGGTAGGGATGAGCAATCATATGATGATCTGTTTGGCCAGAGTCATGACTTGCAGCACAGTTCTCCCCACAGCTTCAGTTGGAACCTACAGCTGCCTGTTTCTGAGCAGAAGTGTGTAACTCCATCACGTTGACACTTCCAGGCAGCACAGACTCGTTCCATCTCGTGTTTCCCACCTGCAGGTTGACCAGGTGACTCTTTGATGCCATTCAGCTGCCTCTCCGGTGAGACTCTCATCCTGCAGGAGGACTTCAACCATCCTGGACTACAGCTGGCAACGGTAGTCGGCTCTACCACCGTGGACAGACTTCTCTGTGTCCTACAGCAGCCTCACAGCTCGATACAGCAGAACAAGGACTACCGTCACCAACTGCAGTCCAATGTGTTGGAGTGTGTCCATGAGAGAGGAGACCCACTGCAGAGGCCCTGGAATGGACTTCAAGGGCTGCCTCAGCAGCAACCTGGTGGGCCTGCAGGTGGGGAACACATGAAAAAGTAGATCACATGCCAAATTAAGAGTGTCTATGATATAAAACCATCAGACTGCCCACCCTTACTTCCAGGTGAGTCACAACCCACAGGGGATGCAGGATAGACACCTGTAGATAAAAAAAAACCTCTTGGATGAGACCTCCAGCTCCCTGTGACTGATGCCTTTAGGATTACCACGACCTGGACGAATGAAAATCTACACAGTTACTTAAAGGAGTGGTTAGAATAGTTATGATTTCCTGTCCGGGTTTAGATGAGACCGACACAACATTTAATTAGTCAGATTTAGAGGTGCTGTTTGTATTTTAGTACAGACAGAAATGTGGTTTCGACCCTCTCCTATAACCCTGGAAAGCAATTTATTAAGCGTGTTTTATTAAATGACAAACTAAACATATCAGTGCTTCCTCCACCGTTGCTGGTCAGTGCTCAAAACATATTTATCCAACTCTAAACATACCACAGAGAGCTGCTGTTATTATTCTTACCATGATTATAAACTAATTTGGCTGTTTGCTCTGCTCAGGCTTCATTTTACAATAATGATTAAGTTGTTTTTAAGCACAAGGAGTTCTGCTGAGAACACAGACACTGGATGCGGGTCACTTTTAAAACTACCAAGAGGTGGAAAGACGTTGGGGTAAATAGTGTCTACAAAAGGTCTACAAAAATCTCTACAAGAACTAAAAGGAGCATTTTCTGGGCGGTTTGTCCTCACCTGCACCAGCACCTTCACTGAACTAGTCAGGCAGGACATGTGACACTGAGAGAGTCACAGGGGAAGCTCAAAGACTGCAGGTACTTAGACTGGAGGGTGTCTTGGGGTGCGAGTGAACCCTCCACGTTCACATTAGCTGCTCTGAGCCTGTTCTTGGCAATCGGGACAGGTGTAAGTCATCTCATGTGCATTTTGGCCCATCCAGACCGCCGTCCCATTGGCGTCAGACTCTTGGGCCTTAAGAGAGCGATGCACCTTGGCACAGTAGCTGCTGCTCTCGTATGGGAAAGGCATGAAGGAAGCAAAAAAAAAAGAAGCAAAATAGACAAACAAAAATGGTGACGTGGGGGAAGGAGGCTTTAACTCAAAGCGGGTGGGGGGAACAAAATGAGGGCGGTTTGGTTTCATGAATGAGGACGATGTTAAATAAAGGAGATTAAACTCGTCAACTCACCAAGCTAGGTATATCATAGACACTATGAATATGAGGAGCACAAAGGCTCCGGCTGCTACACCATACACCCACATCTTCAGCTTCCCATCTGTGGAGGAGGAGGCTCGTCAGTTGGTCTGTTTACACTTTAACACGGCACCAGCAGCCATTAAAACAATTCTGTGAAAGCTTCAGGAAACTCGACACGTTGCTGCAAATCCTGCTTCTTCTGGGCAACACTATTTAATGATGCAGCCCATAATTTATGGCTAAATTTCATCATATCAATCTGACACCAATGACCTGCCTGTGTCTGCTGATGTCTACAGGTACAGTGGAAGAAAACAAGAGCAGCAGGGGAGTAACAACCGGGTGTTTCAGGACACAAGAAATAAATGACTCTCATGTTATTTTTGTAAATGTTGGGCACCTTAAAAGCTTGTAGGTTCTTCTGCTCCAACCTTCCCTCATCATGTACCGACTGCACGCTTTAGGAAGAACAAGGAGATTCTGTTGAGGCGATTATGAACCTTTGCAACTTTGATTCCGTCACTTTTTACGGTGCAAGAAAACAGATGCAGAGCTAACCTACTTGCAGCACCTCTAACCACCGTTCAGATGTCCACCCACCCTACTGGAGCGTGTAGAGCAGGATCCAGCAGTGTGCTACAAGCTGCATGAGTTTTATTGCTCCAAACAGGCTGTTGAAATTCAACACAGCTTCCAAGATTAACACGCGTCCAGTGGAAATAGTCTCATTGGCTGCAGCAGTGTCTAATTGGCCTGCAGATAGAAGTGAGAATGACGTATGCAGCGGGGACGGGTCTGAACTACAGCCTTATGGGTAAACAGGCCCCACCATGTCATAAATGACTGTCGCTTGCAGGCTGTTGATAAATTTGCAGGTCTTGCAGTCTGGGAAAAGTGTGCAACAGGAAGTTATTACAGGTTGAAGCTTGCATGTTGTAGATTTGGTGAAACAGGTGCTAATATATTGGGCAATATTAGCTCTGCAGACATACTGCCTTGATTATATTTCCTTATGGATGTGCAGACAGACAGCAGTAGACGCCACAGGTCTGTTCATACTGCTTATACATGCAGTCAGTCAGCACGTACATGTTGTAACCGTACACACTGCTGCCCTTGTTCGCCGTTTGGATGATGGGAGATGATGAACCTTACGTCGCTCCAAACCCAGCAGACTCCTGCACACTTGGGCAACACTGGCCTTAATTTGTATTTATGTAAAAATACAGAAACACCAAATAGAAGCTAAACCAGTGTCAGCTGGGGTTAGTTCTGCCCAGTGCATTTTAACACGTACAGCTGCACTAAAAACGTGAACAAAGGGTAAAAGAAGCTGCTTTTCGTGTCTCATACATCACTGTGACATAACAGAGGCTGGTGACCTTCATCAGTGATACTCGTGGCATCGCAGCTGTGAAATAAGGTGAGAAACTATTACTGTTCTCAGACTACGACTATTTTTCCTTCCCCATACTTTTCTTTTTTTTAATCTCGTAGGCACCCAGTATTTACAGAAAACATTATTTTCTTCGAAATGTCCAGTTGTTACTCTCTTCCTCCCAGTTGCTTTGATTCCTTCCTCCGTATCTACATTTAAATTCAAGCAGTCAGCGTTTCATTGGTGTCTGATGATGCAACCAAATCACACTGTAAATCACGAGCTGCATTAAGAAGCATTACAGTTATTTCTCTTGTCTGAATCTGCAATGAGGAGTAACAGCAAGAAGAGTTTTGCAAAAACAAGCAACCATTTGGAGGATACATAACACAAGGCTTACTGTATGTGATGGCATGTGAATGTGTTTGCTCCTGACAGACATTAACTCAATCTGTTCTGCACTCCTGCATCCTAAATGTTTCTTCTTCTGTCATGCACCATCAGTCACATCGCGCTGTGTGTGCAGCAGCAGCAGCAGCTCTCAAATGTTAATGTACCAGCAGTTCAGAGGAGGAAGCGAGCTCCATCCATGCACAGTCGGAAGTACAAATAGGTTAAATCAAACGTTAATTAAACACTGTCAACGCTAAATCTGCCCAAAACATACCGAGAGTAAAGCACGTTCTGCTGTTGTCCCGTGAAAACCTCTCGGCTTTATGTCGCAACTTCACTTCAAGGATTACGTGGTGCTCTGCAGGTTGGGGAAACTCTACCGAGGCTGGACTCTAAAACCTCTCCCTCAGATAAACTTAAAAAGACACTCAAATGAAATGGAGGCATTTTTTCTTCTCAGTCTGTAGAGAAGAGGAACTATTTTACATAAAAGTTCCTGACTTCAGACTCACACATACATAAACATTTCTTCAGATTGCAACTGCAAGTGGATGATTTTTGTTTACAGACCTTTTCACTCTTTGCTTGGTGGGATGAACGTATGCCGACATGCAGCCGCTGTTTGCTGATAATAAAGGCCCTGCTTACATCATTCGCTTGTGAGGTTTCCATTCCTGCTCTTCTTGTTGCAGCACTATAGTCAGAGTAATGTTTCCAAACATATAAACCACGACGGCCTTTTTTCCCCTTCTGACTTCCTTCACATTTCTAACTGAGAGGCATTTCTATGTTTGTAATTACAACCTGACAACTGGAAAATAGCAGCTTCTGCAGAGTATATTACGGCAGAGCTCTGGCGCCACAACATGACATTTAAAAGATTAAAGGTTTTCACTTGACAGCAGCAAAACACTTGTTCTCTACGTGTTCCCTGCATGTGCGAATACTGATTTATAAAAAAAAAAACCTGCAGCTGAGTACAAACTAGTGTAAATCCGGCTCGAATGTGAACAGCGTGTGAAGGCCTGACCTGGTCCGTAGGGCTGCAGGTACCAGGTCCGGCCCGTGCGTCCTGGCTGGATGGTGCTGGGCATCGTGGGGTTAATGGCACGGCTGGTCTTCACGTCCCCCTTCTTGTCCCCGGCTGTGGGGATCTCCAGGATGGGGATGGGGGCGCACTGGTCCAGCTGCCCAGTGGATGACAGCACTTCTGTGAAGCCTTCTTCGCACATGCACACGCCGGCCTGCAGAGGGCAGCGCAGAGCCACGTTTGGTTTGAGCAGCAGCTACAGTTTCACACTTGAATTGGAGTAGACTTGAATTAATGGAGGGGGATCTTTGTTATGGGGGGACCTGCTCCTTCTGGGCTACAGGTTGAACCCTCGTGTGTCCTCTGATGCGTCTACATCTCATTCACTTTTAGTTAATCTAGATAAAAGCATAAGCTTCCATTTCAGAGCCTGTATGAGACCTGCTGTGACCTCATCCATATATACTGTAGTTTCTGCTAAGAGCCATTTCCAATTCAACATCAGAAAACATCACCTGCACCATGAACGCTCTTTGAAACAACGGCTGGCACTCACACCTGACAGCTCACAGCCAAAAGGACGACACCGAGCTGTTGCACTTTAGCAGCTGGGGACTTAGTGCCTTGCTAAAAGTGCTAAAAGGCTTTAGAACAGTGGGAATGAGAGAGGACCTCATTGATTTCCACAACTACAACCACAGTACACTCAGACTACAGCAGCGTAATACGAAAGTAAATCCTCCTGATCTTCAGTTAATGTTCTGTTTTAGAGCATGATCTGATTTTATGATCATATTAAAGGTTGTAGTGCAGATGTTTTTTGTTTTTGTGGTTATGTAGTCTACCCTGACTGATACAGAGTGGAAAACTATATGACACCAAACTTTCACAGAGACCATAAACTCACATTAACACGTCTCTGCAGCAGTTGGCAAAACTGAACATTATCACCTTCATGAAGGGAGGATCTGCTGTAATTAGTTTTATCTTGGTGTACCGTTACCTCAGTGGTGCTGAACTCGCTTCTCACCTCATCGCTTTAGCCTCGGTTGTCTCAAACAGCTGCTAACCAGCCTTTACTGCTGAGTCCAAATTTGTTTTTAAAAACTATAAAGCTATTAAAATGGATACAGCCTGAGATTTACCAGCTGCTGTGTCTGCTGGACAAGAACTTATTTTCCTGATTGTGATGCAGCACAGGTGAGTGACACTGCGGAGGAATGGCTTTTACATCTTTGTGCTGCCATCATTTCATTCCCTGCTGCATTCAAATTCAATTCTGGCAGCCGTGTGTCACGGTGAGCGAACACACTGCTGCTCATCCACCAGACCTGCGCCTTCAAGTTTGTCTGTTTATTGTTTTCTGTTCCGTTTACCACATTTTCTTTGGGCGTCTTTGTCTTCAAACCACATTTTTATTGACGATTTTTCCTCTTTTTATTTTTGGTTTGATTGCCGCTCACCTCGCTGCAGAAGGACTTTGGCATGAGGCAGGGAGGGTCACAGGAGCTGTTGTCCAGCGGAGGGTTCATCGGAGGACAACCTCCTGCGGGCCGAGACACGACAGAATCAACCAGAGAACACCATGTTTTTAATACAATGCGATGAACACAAACGCCTGCTCCGGTACGTCCACTGCTCTCTGCTGCTGACAGCTTGTGTTAGTTTTTATATAAAAGACGTTTTCACGTGTAAAAGTTCCGATGTGGTGTTGCTACACAGCCTGCACATCCATCTGTATCTATAACTGAATACAGCAGATAGCCAGGTTTATTTTGGGAACTATTTCAGGTGAGTAACCAAATGTTCGTATGTTACACAGAGACGAATACCGACTGTCACCGCCCACCTGCTTTCCTTCTTATAGAAATAAGTCCCCAGTTTTTTAGAGCAGTGTTATATTTCTGACATATTTTGTGTAAATTGTACCTCCTACATAAACCTGACACCAATGCTTTAGACTTACTGTGGAGGTTTGGAGCTGCTGCAGCCCCCAGTTCCTCACTTTAAAGATAAATAGCTGCACTATTTATTATTCAAAATAATACGGGGGGCAGCATTGGCTGGTCTCTGAAAAGCCTTTAAACAGACTAAAGAGTACCAGCGGTCCCTCGGCACTGGTTTGATGTCTAAGAGCTCGGACCAGTTCATCCACAGTGTGTATTTATTCAGTGTTTCTGTTCGGTTTGATGCGTTTTAGAGCTGAAATAGTTGGTCTGCTTCAAGATGGTGCAATTTTGTTATCAATTAATCACTAAAGAAAAAAAAGGAGAATTTTCCTGCTTCTCAAATGTGAATATTTGCTGATATTACAAGAAAACGAGCGATTTAAATACATTAACTAAAGAGTTTTTGGCTTATTTCAGGTTTTATTGACCAAATCACAGAACAACGAAATAAACAGCACAATAATCTTTCAATTAAAACACACTTTAGTTGCCTTTAGTTTACTGCACTCGGGCCTCGTACACGTTAATTCTTTCCTCGTAGGTTTAGTCAAACAAAATCCACATGACCATCGTTTTACTAAATATCTTCGCAAACACAAGAACACTAAATGACTATAACCGCCGGCTTAAAGCGTGAATCCACACTCGAACGACGCGGCAAACACCGGACTAAACATTCTGCCGTAGATTTGATTCTGCAAACTTTGATCTGTGGATGCAGAGGCTTTGGCATGTTGGTGAAGTGGTGCAGGAACGTGTAATTACTAGAGCTGACTAAACATAAAGACAGTGGTGTGTCTGTTATATACATACCATTGTTGTTGTTGTTGTTTGAGGCACATGCTCATTACACAATGCCCTCAAATTTTATATTTTTCAGACACACACCAGCTGGAGTTTCATACAAAGTGAGTGTGGACGAAAAGCCCAAACTTTGGGGAAACTGTTTTGCAAAATATCAGAAAAAAAATTAGGTTTTCGAACCCTAGTTTCAGAACCACTGTTGTACAAATGAAAGAGAGAATTGAGTCTCCAAAACCTTTTAAATGTAATATCAAGCAAATTCCCCTGTAAAAGCCAGCGGTTCTTACCCGTCACATTGAGTCCGTCGGAGCGCTGACACCAGATAAAAGGCCGGCTGGAGTTTGAAGGACTGCTGCTGAACCATTTGTACTCGTAACATTCACCCACTGAGAGCAAAACACAAAAACAATCAACAAGTATAAAAGCTGACAGTGGGAGTCTGCAGTGAAGACTATTAATCATGAGAGTGACGGATTAATAAAGCAGCAGCTGAATTATGGCTGTATAATGGGCTGCTGTCACATAATATCAGTATCAGTGTGTCTTCACAGAAGGTCCAGTTCAGTGTTTTAATCTTCAGTAAGAGCTTTTGCTTAATGACTTTCTATCAATGCTATTATGACTTTATCAATATCTCCATCAGTGCAGTAAATGACCGTATTTCCCTATGGAGTCCTGTATAACCAATCATCAGTCCAGCCAATTCGGCGAGCATAAATGAACAATTTAACCTTGAACAAAAGACAGATCTGTTCTCCACCGGCTCGGTACAGTATCGCTGCTCCAGTCAGCGGCTCGGCTCTATCTCCCGCTTTCACAGGACGATTTGTCTGCGCCTGAGATGACTTCACCTTTTAAGTTCTTCACTTTTCTCATTTCTTTCCTTTTCTCCTGCTCTGCTGCAGCTCAAGTCATTTCTCAAACGTGCTAAGCTATCACTGAATCGCTCACTTCAGCCGGCACTTCCCACCATCTTTTACGAGGAGATTGGAGTTTTACTACTATAGAAACATCTCTCTGAGGAGAAGCAGAAATTATTTCTGGAGGCAGAAATAATGTCAGTAGTGCTGTTGGATGTGAGAAGCTCTGTAAGGGCGAAGAACAGCAATAGATGATGATTTCAAACCATGTTAACTGAAAAAGATTAATTATAACCGAGCTGTCAGAAGTGGGCCGCACTTCCAGAGCACCGTCACACACATTTACACACCAGTGGAGGTAGACCGGCCGAACTGTCCAACATCGTAAATCCATTGTCACTGATGAAGGGAAGAAGTAATTACCATTCAGGTTAGGGACTGTAGAAACATTAATGGAGTCCGGCTGAGCCTCATGTTTTACTTTTAGCAACGTTAACACCAGCAACAAGTCCAAGTGTTCACCTGTCCAGTGGAATAACTCAACGTCTACGAGATGTTCTGCCATCATGTGTGCAGATAACGATGGTTCTCAGAGGATCGCTGTCACTGGTCCTCTGTCCTGTTGCTCCACTGTATTTGTGGATTTGAGTCAAATGTCAAGTATTTGATATTTTTCAACATTTCACACTGAAAATCATCCATCCATCATCTCTACACCTTCATCATCACCAGGGTCGTGGAGGGCTGGAGTCTATTCCAGCTGACTCAGGGTGAAGGCAGGTTCACCTGGACAGGTAACCAGTCCATCACAGGGCTGTCCTCACCGGGATGGGAACCGGCGACCTTCTAGCTGCGAGGCGACGGTGCTAACCACCGCCCCACCTTGCCACGTTAAATTATGACAAAACATTTTTTTATTTTCTTTGTCAAAGAATTAAAAACAAAGCTAAAATATTCTAGATGGACAAATGAACTAATCAGCATCTGGGGAGTCACACATCACAGCTCCTGATTAAAGTTTATTAGATTTATCTGTTCCTGACATTCACTAATGTTACCTGTCATATGTGTTCAGTGTGATCATCACGTTAACGTTTCCATTTGTCCAGGACTTATTTATGGCCATCACCTGCACAACATTCTCATCAGCCTCAGCTGTACTCAGAGTTTACTTCTAAGAAACCTTCGCTAGAACAGCATGAACAAATCCTCCACTGGTGTCAAAAAATCTGATTAAGAAATCCTCTCTCAGCAGGAAAAGTTTGAACATCCTCTCCCTCTTTGAGCCCTCAAAATGTTCATTCATTCTCTTAAACCCAATCTGTATATATGCTACCTGTTGATGCTTTAAAAACCAACAATCCTTTTTTTTTCTTTGCTTGAAAGAAATTATGAAACAAACACAAAACACCTGGGCCCTGTTTGTATGATATCGTCACAGAAATCGTTGAGTTTTTGACTTTTGTGAAGCGACTAACATTTTATCCTCCACTGTGCCTGCAGGTAAAGGTGATGCTCTTGACCAATAACATATAAAACAGACGTTTTGTTGTCATTTCCATATTTTGTAACGACAACAACAAAACATTCATCAAATTAAAACCTCTGACATCAAACCTCTGCTGTTCTCTTTACTAATACAGTGTTGTGGCGTCATCATGCCGACATCAAGAGATCTCTCTACGGCTCTCAGATGGTCTGCACTGAGGAGCAAGGTGCTGCCTGCCGTTGGAAGTGACTTTTTTAAAGCAATTTTAAAAGATCTCTATATTTATTTAAAATAATTTGTTCCACTGTGGAGACAACCATCTTTGAGTGGTGCAGATTTTAAACGGCAGCCAGAGGGCAGACAGCGTCTACGCTGATGTGACCTGTGTGGGAGGCGTGCCAGGAAAAGAAACTTCTGCTGTCAAAAAATCTAAACAAAAAAAAAAACCCATGAGGGCAAAAATACAGTTTGTCAGTAAACAAACAGACAAAGACCAGGCCGTTTGGAATAATGTGCTCTGGACAGATGAATGGAAGACGGAGTAGTTTGGCCACAGCAACAGTCGACGTGTTCACACCAAAGACAGCTTCAGCTGTGAGGCATGATGGTGGTGGAAATGTTTGGAGATACTTGTGTGCCTCGGGGGCCGGGCAGCTTGCAGCTTCAACGAAGAATCTAATCAAAGAGGGCTTGAAGATAATGTGATAGCATCTGTCCAAAAGTTTAAGTGGACATTTCAACAGAATCTCAGACACAAACAGATCTGCCGAGGACTGGCTCACGAGGAGGAAATAGAGCGTTGTTAAACATCCTGTCAAAGCCAAGATTTGAATCCCATTGAAACACTGTGGGGGGATTTCAAACAGGCAGGAAAACATCTCGCATCTGAAAGAACTTTGTGGGGAGAGCGGTCAGACTGTTAGCAGGTCAACATCAGAGGCCAACGAGGAGTTATGCAAAACACCGACAACCAGCTACTCCTGCTAACGGCGTGATGAACACAGAAGATACCTGTTGGTACAGTTGTTGAATGAATGACTGGAAAAGCTCATTTTCCTCGTGGCTGTGTTCAAGTCAAGCTCCAGTAAAGAGGATCAAAGGTTTCCACATATCTTAATGAAGTCAGCTGTACTTAATCTCACATGACTGCACACTGATAACACACAGACTGTACGTTTGTCTATGATGCTGTATTTTGGTGGCTAGCTTCAGTCTAACAGGTGAACCATTCTGTGCTACCGGTGATGATGATGCAGCAGGAGGCGGCGACTTCACAGCCTTTACACTTTTGCTCGACTCTTTTAGCCGTTCGTTGTTTTAGTTTCTGGCCACCTGAAGACAGAATCCATTGTTTATTCTCACTTTCGCTTTGTTTTGCTCTCAGCATACTTTGATTCGTTTTAAGCTACCGACAATTTCAAATTTGCACACTTCAAAAATAATGAGACGAGTGTTTCACCAAGGATTTACTTTTCTGTCCCTGAAGCTGTTTGGGGAGCCATCTACAGATTTTACACCTCTTCCTGCTGTGAGCAGCTCCTTTGTTGTTTTTGTTTTATCACGTTAGCGTAAAACTGCGCAAACAGACCAAAACGCAGCAGTTTTAAGCTGCACTTCCTTCACTGGGAACGTCATGTAGACACAGAGCATGGCAGGAATTAGTCTACTGTAAAAGTGTGCAACTGGGACACAGCTGCGGATTTGTTTTTCTCAAACGAGGCTCACATCAAACTGCTCCCTCCGTCCCCAGCCTCCCTTTCTCCGTCACCGCCCTCTTGCTTCCCCTGCCTCCGCTCGCTCTGCCTCCTCCACCTTCAGTGGTCTTGGCTGGGCCACTCCTCCCCCCGTGCCTCCAGTGATGCTTATGAAACCAGGTCAGGCTAGTGAGGGCTGCTGTGGGGCTGCAGCCAAGGAGGAGGGAGGTGTGGAGGAGTGGGGCGGTGGGCTGCAGACTGAGCCCATGGCTATTGTATATGTCGAGCTTTGGTGGTAGTGATTCACAACCCACGCTTCACCTAATGGGTGATTAACGCGCCCGGGGAGCAGCAGAAATCACAACAGTAAATGAGTGTGGGGGTTTCCACCGCTCAGAGATCTGACTCAAGAAATCCCATCTGGGAGAACACCAATTGACCCAGTGTACAGAAGGAAAAACAAAGTGATAGCAGTAGTTAGCGCTCTTTTTCCCTCGGTGGTATTTGGGGCATGGTAGGAAGGCGGCCCAGCGGTTAGCTCAGTGAGAACAATCGTTATTAGATTCTCGTCTCAGATCCCTTCTCCACAAACTCAACATGCCGGTCCTGTGGGTTCGTCTGGGTGTCGCACTTTCCTCTGATGATCTGAACCTGAGAGTTTAGACAGAGAGACGACTGAATGTCCTGCAGGTGTGTAAACGTCTCTGATACGTCCACAAGCTGCCACTGACTCCAGCTCGCCACCATCACGCTTATTGGCGATATGTGGGTAAAGAAAAGGGATAAATGAGTCAAAGTTTTTGGTTGCTGGACTGCAGCAGCTCATCTGTATGCACCCTCAGTTCACTTTTCAAAGGGAGAGCGCCTCTGTTAATTTGTCAGAGCTCCTGGCCAGGAGAGGTTGAAGCTGTCATGTTTTTAAAGTATTCTTACCGCTGCACGGCTGAGACTCCCACGCCTGGTCCGGACACAGCTGCAGGTTTTCAGGTTCCTGGGCCAACACGGCTCGTGAGCGGACCTGGACCGAGCCGAAGTCGACGCCGGCCCCCTTGACGCAGATGCTGACACACGAGCTCCAGTCCGACCACTCCATCAGGTAGCATTCACCTGCAGCACAGAGGAACGTTTTACTGTGACGGTAAAGTGAGAGACGGCCTCACGCAGGATGCTGGTGTTTATAAAAACCTCCCATCAAGCTGCTGATGTATCACAGCTGCACTAACGGAGGAATAATGAGCATTTTCTTCTGACAAATCCTAAATATTAGACAGTAGAGCTGAAATAATTAGTCAATCGATTGGCAGAGAAAAGATCTTCTGGAGTCACTTCTCAGATGTTCTGAACAATTTGTCAAAACTCCAGTTCTCGCTCCTCCAATGTGAGGATTTACTCTTTTTTTCTGTTTAATATCACTGTACAGGGAATACGTTGGGTTTTCAAGAGATGTGAAGACATCACCTTGGCCTCCAGGACGCTGTTACTAACTGAACAGTTAAAAACACTCCCAGTATGGAGAAGTTAAGCTGTGCTGCTGAGATTCAGCTTCAGATTTAACAAATCATTTGATATTTTTGACACATTTTATAATTTGCAAACCCCCAAAGTAATTCTGAACAGCGCCACCATGATGAATTACATGTTGATGAATTAAAAACAGCAGCGTAACGTATAATAAACATGGAGTGATTTCTTCCTGTAATGCAACTTATGTGTAAATATGAACTCCAACAGCAAAGAGACTGATCCCAGAGCCTCTTTACCTCCTGAGCTGTTACTGACGGCTCAAACTAAATGAATTTGTCATGAAACAACCAAACTCACACATTCATCTGGTTCAAAGCAGCCAGAAATTAAATCCCTACAGATATCAGCACCTCTCTGGCATCTCTTCACTGTTACCTGTTCAAATTTTTCAAATAACTGCCAAATGGCCTATAAAGTATTGCAAGATATGGCCTGACGCCATACTTTATATCTTTTAATTTCCTGTGCAGGCTCAGGTCCTCAGGCAGGGTGGCCCTTCTGGTTCTGCTGGACTACAAGACTAAAAGGTGACCAGGCTTGTGCTCTGGGAAGACCTGCCTGAGGAGATGGACAGCATCGGGGTTATCTCCCAGTCTGCTCCAGGGTGATGTCTTCAACTAAATTACTTTATTTCTATCATCCGTCTCTCGTTGAACCTCGGTGTTCTCACCCAGATTCTGTGTGACTGTTTAAGCTATGCTGAGATGTCTGCACTGCAGCTTTGGTGTGGGTGTCTGCAGGAGAAATCCCATCATCAACTTTGGCAGCGCTAAAGCAATGTTTTAGCTCTTCGTCTGCGGATGAGAACAGTTTAATCTGGGCGAGATGTTGAGGTGTGCAGCGGAGACGCGCACAGAATGTGTATTTACATATCACGTCGCACGATGCTGAGACGCTTTGAAGAGTTTCAGGAGGAGGAAGGTGGAAGTTGGAGGTGCAGGGCGGCGTGGTTTTGATCACACCTGACAGCCGCAGCTCATCAAACAGCAGGGGAAATAACATGGGTCAAGGGTGGCAGCGCATGAAAGTGTGTGAGTGTGTGTGTGTGTGTGTGTGTGTGTGTGTGTGTGGGGATGCAACGTGCTAGAATTCCCATGCTGTCCCCGGTCTTGCACAAACAGCCCTTGAATTTCCTCCCAAATCACACTACAGTACCTCCCTGTACAGAAAACAGTCTGTGCTTCTGATTGCTGTTTGATACTTCAGTGCTCCTGCAGTTTGGCAAAAGGGGTTGGACCGACTTGTTATCTAGGGCAGCGTTTCTCAGTGTTTTCCATCTCAGGGACCAGCAGCCATCTGATGAGCTTCTCTTTTTTTTTTTTCTAAAATGAGAAACCCACCAGTGGAAACACATGCCACACATACTTTAAAGACATAAAATGAATTCAAACTGAGACACTTGTAAATGAGTCATAGAGTGAAAAAAAAAGGCCCGTTTTTCCTCCTCTATACTTTAGAGGTACTGAATGATGAACGATTAATGATGAACCAAAACAACGCTTTGGAAACGAACTCCACATTTGTGTTTTGTCTTTTGGCAGACGCGAGGAACAATAATCCCCCCTTCAGGGACAACTGACAGTGAAAACAGATTTATATTTAAGCTGCACTATGTGGAATTACACTTCTATTATCAGGCTGAATCATAAACTGTGGGTGCACTTTAACTTTCTTTCCTTATTTGAAATGTTGTAGATTCGCCCTATTTACTCAACAGAAACTCTCACGTCTCTTTGTGCGCTGCGCAGCTTCACGATACGACCGCTGTGGTTGGAGGAGGGATGGCGAAGCGTTGCAGCTGCAGACCTGATGGACAGAGTCCAGCAGCTTTTGGGCAGAGCTCACCTGTCTGTCTGTCGGCTCTGCTCCACACCGCAAAGCTACATCAAACCCAGCAGCTGACAAGCCTCCGTCACAAAACCTGACAACAACTCATCAAACCCAACCTTTTGAAGAGATAATCCCATCTGTGAGATCTGCTCTTTCTTTCCAGTGGGGGTTGACATCCTCGGTCCTAAGCTGATATTCTGCTGTTTTTGTGCTGCAGTGCTGAGACATCAGCCGTCAATCAGAGCGCGCTCAACAGGCTCCTGCGCCTCATGCTTTGTATTGATGAAAGATTCAGTGGAGTCAATGGTTACCGCTGCTTCTGCTAAATACATAGTTCCTCTATTTATTTGTGAGAAAATGCTGTTAGTGCTGCAGGAGAGGACCCACCGCTGTGAGGACCTCTGATACTCCATATACGCTTTCAAAGCAGCACTCCTCCAAAGTTTTTATGTGCTGTTTATGTCCTGAAGCAGCGTTCTCAACTACCGGCCAGGCTACTGCATATTCAGAATTTATCTGTGTATTTCCAGCCAGCAAATATTATTTTTCCTGCCTGTTTATATTCTTACAGGGTCTCGTATTTTTAGACAAATTCTAACAAGACTGTAAAATCCGACCAAACCATTAGTATATTAGTTTTATGTCTCCTTAAATGTGAAGACAGGCCGGCCTGTGCTAAGAGAGGACGACAGCTTTTCACTTTGGTGTTGACTTTAATGTAATAATAATGTAATCAGAACCAAGAAGGCTGCCATTGTGCGGGAACGCAGTCTGAAGTGGCGTTACTCAGCTGGACCTGCAGAGCTGTATGTATTTATGTATAGAGAGCAGAAGGAAACCAGGCTGCCTGATTCAGAGCACACGGTTATAATTTTCTTCTGCTCAATGTTCAATCAGTGACTTTCATGTGATTAAGGTGAGACACCAACCAGAAACTCTGGGAAAGTTCCTCCCAAACGCAGGTTCATTAGTCCAGAAGTTAACTCGTAGTTTACAAATAAATTCAGAAACACTTGCGCTCAACACTTTCTTCAGATATTTCATATTAAAAGCGAACCAGGAAATGTAATAACAGCACTCTCTGAGCTGCTGGAAAGCATCTAATCTGCAACAAAACACAGGAAACTAGAAATAATCAGTCTTCTTGTTACAAAGACAAACGTGTGAGCTGTATTTATTTGGCTCATCTGACTACACAAGACGGTAAAAGCACGACCACAGTGAGCGCAATAAGTCTGTGTAACATCATCTGCCAAAAATCTATTTTCTTTTTTGCTGTTGTTGTTGTTGACCACTCGACAAACAAAAATGTCTATTATGCCTGAACAAAAGAAACCTCAATTAACAAAACTGCTTAAAATTGAGGAAGTATTTTTTGTTGTCAGTTTTCATGATTCCTGTGCTGCTGGTTTCCTTCTGTTTCCTTCTGTTGAGTGCCAAGAAATTCTCTTTGTAGGAAAAACCCCACGTATGGCAGGGCTGCATTGCTGTTGTAGTGCTGCTGGAATTACTGCAGCGGAAAAGACAACACATAGAAGAGTAGATTAAAAGGGGAATGTGTTACTGAAATATGATAAAATATACAAAATAAAACAAGGAGTGGAGCTGATGCTCGTTGCATTTGTTGTAAGTAATGAATGTATGAAAGATGAATCCTTGTTATCTCGTATTAATCAGTGAAATACGGCAGCAGAAGAACAATACAACAGCATATAGATAAATGATGATATCATCGTGAGCTCACTGGTCTGCTGAGTGACTATAAAGGTGGTAATCTGAGTAATATTTCACAGGTTTCGCTCTGTATGGTCATCTATCATGTAAATCACAACAGATGTCCCGCACAGCATAAAGACTGTGCCGGGACCTAATCACTCACCGAAATAAAAAACGTCATCCTGTGCAGGTCGATTGTAAAGTGACACTGCCAGGTTTGTGGGGTTGGTGCCCGCTGGGGCTACCCATGCTGAAAATGTGTGCACACATGGCACACTAACAAGCTCTGTGGGTCCTCCAACAGGCACACGGCATCGAATCTTGTCTTAGGTACACTTCATCTTGGTCTGTTTGTCGACAGTCACATACTGTTTATTGGGCGACACACACAACTCGGTGCAACGGAGGAGTACGATCATGTTAAGTACACATTTCACCTGAACGGCGATTTTCCAATCATCATTTAGCAGCTGTTACTCAGCACAGCAAGTCTGTCGAGCTCTGAAGTTCTCCACAAGCTGAAGGTACACAGGATGAGTTAAGGAGACGGTTTGAAAAATAAAATGAAATCTTAACATAGCGACAGCCTTGGATTGTGACTCCGACATGACATTTAATGTCACCAATCAGGATGACGGCGTATTATCTGACTGAACAATCCCACAGATTGGCTACGTTCACACTGCAGGACTTGATGCTCAATGAGGATTTCTTTGTGACTTCCTTCACGTTTCCAGTTCAATGCGACTTGTATGTGATCTGCTGTGTGAACTTCATACGAGCCAAAAGTGTCCCGCATGCGCAGAAGAGGACACGACGACGTCACACGCAGCGAGCGTGCTCAGTGTTTATGGAAGTAAACATGGATGGTAACGGTGGAGCGTATCTGCCACTCCCCCGCCGCCACCGATGGAGGAAACAGAAGTGTGAGCGCTAACTAAACTAGCATCAGCAGCCAAGTACTGCCTGTGTGTTCTGGACACTTCCACCCCGTCAGAGCGCTGCCCCGGGGTGGAAGTGGACGGAACGTGTACAATCGCACCGTCAGTTAGGCTGAAATCCAGCGATGCGTAGTGTTCTAACAACACACTAGTTATTATAACAACTATGAACAATAATGAACAACTAATGATCCTTCCAGCATCAAGCCCTCCTCGTATCTGGACCTCCGTCTGGACAATCCGACAGCCTTGCTATCCGACATCGAAGAAGGTTTTACATTTAGTGTCGGATCATCGAGTCACGACTGTAGTTACATTTTTAAGGCGTAGTTAAACTCTTTTGCTGTGTAGTTATTATGATTTCTTCATGCAGTTTAAGGGACTGTCTGGTGAAAACTGTATAAATTTAGACCATTACGACTGTGTCTCAATGCCTAAAATAGTAACTGACAGTCAAGGAACAACTCAGTAATCAATGAAGCACACTCGTTTGTGGGGTTTACAGGCTCTCTCTCTACATAGATATATATATGTGTAGAGAGAGAGAGAGAGAGAAGCACTCATGAGCAGCCTATTGACTGGAGTATTTAGCGGCTGTAAGGAAGCTGCTTCTGGATGCTACTGGGTTCATGGTAACGTTATCTGCTCTGTCCTGGCGTTGATTGGATTTGGGTAAGTTTACACTCACGCAATCCTCACAAACATAGTCACGGATAACGAAACAGTTGGCAAACTCCATAGTTAGTCCTCAACCTGAAAAGGCTTTCCTCATGTAGCTGTAAAATCATGTAGTATGTAAGACTCAGTCTTGCTGTTTCTCTTCTCATAATTTTTTAAATAAAATATTTAAATAACCCTCCTAATGTCTCCTACATGGGACATCATCTGGTGAAGGAGGCTGACATTGTTGCCTGTTGACTTTAGCTGTCCCTGTGCGCCATGAAGCAGAATTTCTAAAACCCCGTTGACTGTTTTGTAAGACAACAAACACTGAAAAGGGATTTTAACCAACTTCTGGAGCTTGTGTTGGCTCAAAGCTGGAGTGCAGGTCTTATAAATTGACGTCTGTTGCATTCGAGCCAAATGAGTTCAAACGCTGCTGATTAAGCCGATCATCGGCAGGTAAATCGCTTCGTTTTAAATCTGGTGTCCTTGGTGACATCCTCACGCTGGCACAGTGGCGGTGATGCGTTCTACGCCAACCAGCAGCGGCTGGTTTGCCAGAGCTGAGGAGGAGAGAAGCTGAAACAATAAGTAGGCTACAGGAACTCGGAGTTTGGTGGAGGCTGTGGCGGAAAAACCTCAGAGGCATCCAAGAAAAGCTGCTGATGCTCCGGATACAAACTAGCGAGCAACGGACAAACACAGATTACTGTTGGTGTGGCTTTTTCTTGTTGGAAAGCACTGAAAGAAGACGATGGACTGAAGGCAGGCTTGAATTTCACCTAAATGCATGTGGACAGGTTTGTACAATGTTTGCAGAATGTTGTGTAGCCGTTACATTTATGACATGAACAGAGTTTGTGTTGTTACTCCTACTGCCAGAAAAGGGACACAACAAGTGTTTTACCTACTTAACATATATCCATATTTCCATGTTTCATGTGTTTTATATGTTGAGCAGCATTTTTTTTAGCAAGATAAACAGTCATGGCTGATTATTTCCACTCTGAATCAGCAGTGTGCTCATGCATGTAGAAAAACATGGATTCAGACTTCCAGGGTTTCATACGTAACCAGCCTGTGAAACTGATTCTGTCAATTTGCAGAGTGTGGGCTGTCTGTATTATAGTTCTTATTTAGAATTAGTGCC